CTATATAGTTTGAAGAATTAGCAACCGATAGGGATGAAAGGTTTTCAAATGGCGGCCTTATACCGGTAGACGAAGAGTAGTCCCCACAAGATAGAGTAACGAACTGGTAAAACACCCAGGAAGTCGATAGATGCAGGTGGCTTAGTACCATGCTTAGTGATATTCCTTGGGGGAGGCCTACGTTCAGCAGTGGACTTGTGAAGGGCTGTAATGATGATGATGAACATGTAAATATTTAAAAATCCACTGCGCAGATGGTGCTATATCACCGCTGACGGGGCGTCGCTTGCGGAGCGCGCGCGTCGCACCTAACCTCGGCTTGCGCCGCACGCTGCGAGATTTCCTCGATTCGGCTTCGAGCCAATAGATATCAACGACGGTGTTCTGCAAGCGACGGTGTTAAATGGCATTACTGAAATAAACATTTTATATGCACCCTATATCTTCTAAGGCGAATAACTTATTTAAAAAAAATCTATTTTATGGTTGAGAATATTGTAACTTTGATATTATATTCCTTTTAAAGATTAAATAAATTTTATAAATGGTATTCACATTATTTCATTTCTTATTAAATTTTATTAACTGTTCACGTTTTTAAATCATAGTAAAAGTGAACAAAAGAGTACAAACTCCAGCTGATGGTTAGTGGATAGCTCATAAAAACTTATATCTTCTATCCTCGATTAAGAATTAAAATAAAGTTGTATGTATGTATCACCTCCGAGGACTAGCGTGGATTGCTTTGTTATCCTACCTACTGTCAAAAATCATATATTGTGATTTTATGAAATATTAAATATTATGCTGGCATTTCACACTAGGCCGCCTCCGGTCGAGCCGACCAACACATGCTGCAGTTTAGTTGCGACCTGAGTTTGATTACCGTCAGCACCAGAGTAATTGCTAATAATTTTATCAAGTGCTAATTTCCAAGATGATCGAATACAATATTAGCCGTCGTAGGAATTATACTTCGAGGATATGTCCGTAATGACGTTGTATCCATGTATCCGATGTATCCATTACGCCATATTATCCCGATGGTGTTTTAAGAGGCGACAGAGGGAATCACTTCAGGAGATGAGTCTTCCTGATAACGACTAAAAACAATTGCGGCTGCGACCCGCTCGTCAAACGTGCTAACTGTGGCAAATATCCCTCTGTGACGCCATCTATGGAGAATATTTTTTTATTTGAAAGCATGTGCTTTTAATGTGGTCCCATATCAATATAAAATCTGACCAGTAAGTTTTGAGTTATCATTAATAATGCGTATTTAAGTGACTTCGAATACATTGATGATGTTCTTATTTTATTTATATTGAATTCGATTATTAGAAAAATAAAATAAAAAAAGTACCTTATGAAATAGCCTTTCTCACGACAAAAATGCATTGAAATCCGTTTAACTCCTTAACTGTGATTTTTTGACATAATATATCGAAAAATTAATCTTTCATATTCTGTGATATAACTTAAATTTGGGTATTGTTCTGTCTATCTTGTATTATTTCTTATTTAAAAACCTTGAATGTCCAACTTAAGTTGTTTTTGAGTACGGATGCACTGACATCTGTGTTTCCGATATAACTCATAAGTGTTACATTCTTATTCTTCATCATCAGAGCGCAAAAACCAACTAGTAGACATGGAATTTGTTTCAATCATCACGCTTGGACTTGCAATCTTAGTACTAGATCTCTCGTTCTCCCTTGACACTGCTGCCCGTCACTGGTCTGGGTATTGAACTGATTTTTTATAGAGTACGTTAATTTATCCTCGATTAAGAATTAAAATTCAGATGCGTGGCCACCCCTGTTGACTTAGATGGAATGCCTGGTTTACATTCAGCCATTTTTTACATCTTATTCCACACTCTAACAGCCCTACGGGATAGAAATCCACTGTTGGAGATGTATCAGGCTCAGGATTTATGTGGAGGCTTTACGTGCTTTCCTAGGCATGGGAGGAACCACAGCCATTTCCCTAACCTTGGGGCCTCCAGTCTGTTACTTGCTACTAGTCGAGAATTGCTTGACAGAAAGATCCAATAAATTATTTTGGCTCAACCCGGAAATCGAACCCGAAGCCACATGTTTGGCAGTCGCACTTGCGGCTAGTGAACTAACGAGGCAGTCATCCCATTCTCATTATGCAGCGTAGTAAGTATGGAAAAGAATTTCACTTTTTTAATTTACTTGACGCATTTTTGGAAATTCTTGAAAATATCTACAATATTGGCCGTGACTGTATCATAAGTGGCCAAAATCCATATTGGTAAGTGTACCTAAAAACTGCTTTTTTATAGAATAGGAGTCCGTAAACGGGCACACATTCCACGTGATGGTAAGTAGGTTCAGTGATCTTTATTCATAAATCTACATCTATTCTCGATTAACCTCTCAAACGCCAAGCGTTTAAATTTGACCGCTTCGATATTCTGTCAAAATTCAAGAGGTAACCGCACCCACTCACAGCACTTTAACCCATAAATATTTATGTTTTGTAAGACTATTTTTCTATGAAAAAGTTTAGTATTACAGAATCAATGTGAAATTTTCTATCCTCTAGTGGAATAAAAAAAACAGTTAGTCTATGGATATTAATTTATATTCTACCTTCATTAAGTACGCTATTTTCATCTGGATGTTGTTGTGTTGATTTTTGGATTTCTCTAGTGTTTTATTAGTGTTTCACTATAGTGTTTTATTATAAAATTGTTATAAAAGTTTTTGTGTGAATATAATTTATCTTTTGACGTAAATAATTTCGAGTAATATATAGAAATAATTGTAATTTTCATTATTTATTTCATTATTCAGGTAAATACACTCATATTGTTAGTACACTTAAAGTTTAAAAAATAGGGGTTAGTAAATTCACATCCTGAAACTATGGTTGTACTGAACACGTAGCGCATTGAGAGTTTAGCGTACACTACGTCTACAGGCTGCAGTTGTAGAATGTCAGACATTAAACTTTTAATAATGTTATCTCAACTCCATTCGTACACCCAGTACACCCGCGGGCAAGCATATTACACCTCACTGCAAGTTAGTTCCTAGACGGGCAGCAATTACCTCACTTCATCGCTCTACGTTCCCGTTTAATAGAGTTCATTGAGGATCAACCAGCCAAATATTCATTACAGAGTGGCAGTGCCATGACTAATACGATTCTAGCAGACCTCCCCACCCGCATACCTCCATCGACCTGAACCAAAAGATGCGTCGAATCAGGTGCAGCGCAGATTCACCACAAGATGCAATACTGCAAGTAACAGTAAGCATCATCACAATCATTATATGGATGGTGCTCCTTCAAAACACATCCACATGAACCCTATCGACTTTGGGAACAAAATTGGTAATTTTAATAATTAAAAATAACACCAACGTATCATAGTAGTCTGCTACTAAGACATCAGTAACCAAACAATCATAGAGTTTTTAAACGAAGACATGGAGTTGAGTACGCTGACTGCAGGTAAAAGTACTACCAAACACACCTTCCCTAATCCGAAAGATAGCCGACGTGTCATAACGTGTGTTAATATGGGACTATTACATTGTGCAGTAGTACTTTGGTAGTCAGTCGCCTGACATATGAATGACTTATGCGTACGTTTCCGGCAGATCACTACGTAAAGACGCTTCAGCACTGCGCGAACATGCTCTGTAATTTTGATCCATTTTCCAATTACATTATAAACTTATAAACGTTATGGGTCTTTATTATTGTAAAATAAACCACTTATATTTCTATTACTTACATATTTTGAATATTTTGAACAGTTTTAATAAATTTAATGAATTTTTGAAGACAATATCAAGCCTTTACTTTACTTTTATACGTGGTAGAGCCATGCTGCAGTTATATTAGATGTATAGTTGTAGCACGAATGGGTCGGCTCGACCGGGGAAGGACCACGCTCTCACAGAATACCAGCGTGAAATAGTAGCTTAATGCTGCAGTGTTTCGTATGGTGAGTGTAGAGAACCGGAGACCCATTTTACTGGAAACGAGGCATTCCATCTTAGTCCTCACGGGTGACAACGCATCTGCATTTTGATTCGTAATCGAGGATAGATGTAGATGTCTATGGGCCACAGCCACCACTTACCATCAGGTGGACTGTGTGCTCGATTGTCACCCTATCCTATAAAAAAAAAGTATAATACTATTGATATTCGAAATGAACGTATTAGTTTATAAAATTAATGCATATTAAATTAATGCTTATTAATGCATTTTAATTGTTTCAAATATTGCATCTTGGATATTTTTGGCCGTCTTTATAAAGGAATTATTCATTATTTATAATAATGGGCCGTCACACTAGGCATATCATTATGTCTGATTACGCGATCGTCCGTATGATACAGACAAGAGTTCGTTATCGCTGTGTTGACTTAATTAATTTTATCTAAATATTTCCTTCAATTTGCAGATAAAAATAAGTATCGATATTATTACAAAACTCACTATATACGCATACTAGGCATATCAAGTAGTAAATTACTCACTTTTACATATTCGACTTGAAATACACGTCTCCCGTTTGTTTATTTGCGTATTTGTTAATTCAATTCATAAAGAAAATAAAAATAATTATATAATATTTTAAATAAAAAATAAAAATTATGGCCAATATTGTTTCAAAGTGATTTCCGATAAGATAAGATAAAGGACAGTTAATAAGGCGTACCATAATACACACCATTGACCAATTGGACTGAAAAACTGTTCTAATGCAGTTGTTTCAATTTGCGTATTGTTTCGCAATACTGCTATTGGCAAATGCCAAATATATCGACCGTTACCATCCCGAACGAAATGGGATACCAACAGCTTCGCTGTCTGCACGGAACAGTGCCGAGTTGACAGCAAGTTACTGGGTAAACGAAGCTCAAGCGGGAATCGAAGCGAAGCAGCCACGTTTACAAACCAGCCGAAACGAAATAGCTCGTAATGTTGTTATGTTTCTTGGCGATGGCATGTCAGTGCCAACGCTGGCAGCTGCACGAACTTTACTGGGACAGCGCAATAATCAACCAGGCGAAGAAGCGCAGCTTGCTTTCGAAGCTTTTCCAACCATCGGCCTTACTAAGGTTTATTTTTTAATATATCCTACTTGAAAGCTTTTATTTTTTATATAATAAGGGTAAACAAGCGAGCACACAGTCCACATAATGTTAAATGGATGCTACGGCCTATAGACATCTACATCAATCCTCGATTAAGCACCAAAATTAATATGCTGTACACATTTGAAGACTAAGATGGAATGCCTCATTTCCCATATAAAGTGTCTTCAGTTCTTTACATACATATATATACTACATACGAAACAAAGCATTAATATCTGCTATTTTATGCTATTATTTTGTGAGAGCGTGGTTCCACCTCGGTCGAGTCGACTTATTTGTGCTTTGACCATAATATAGTTGTAGCGTAGCTCTAGCACGTAAAAATTATAAAGTAAACTAATACTGATATTATCAATGTTTTAGACATACTGCGTCGATGCTCAAATAGCTGATTCAGCATGCACAGCAACAGCATATTTATGTGGAGTAAAAAACAACTATGGCGTGCTTGGTTTAACTGCTGCAGTGCCGCGCCGCAACTGCTCAGCATCGCTAGATACTTCTACACACATTGACTCTATCGCGGCTTGGGCTCTAGCTGATGAACGTGATGCTGGTAACAAAATTAAATTTAAACTGCGCACTTGTGAATTATTAACTGGAATATACCTTGAAAGATTTAAGTGATATTTCAAATAAATTAAAATTAACTTTAACCCAGGCATCGTTACAACAACCCGAGTAACTCATGCATCGCCAGCTGGAGTCTACGCCAAATCAGCAAACAGAAATTGGGAAAACGATGCAAAAGTTAGAGAAGACAACCAAGATCCGAATACATGCCAAGACATAGCATATCAGTTAGTACATTCATCACCAGGAAATCAATTTAAGGTGAATAATTTTAATTGCATGCAACTTATTTTATTGCATTTTATACTACCATAAAAATTTACTTAATGATAACAAATTATAAAGGTTATTTTAGGCGGTGGAAGACGGGAATTTTTGCCTACAACAAGTATTGACGAAGAGGGTACCCCAGGACTAAGAACTGATGGACGAAATTTAATAGAAGATTGGCAAAATGATAAAATATCACGTAACGTAACTTATCAATATGTTTGGAATCGCGATCAGTTAATGAATGCTGCAGAAACGCTCCCAGATTACCTTTTAGGCCTGTTCGAAGGAAGTCACATGCAATATAATTTGGAAGCTAATGTTCAAACTGAACCTACTCTTGCAGAACTAACCGAAATCGCAATACGTTCACTGAGCAGAAATGAAAAGGGATTTTTCCTATTCGTTGAGGGTGGCCGTATTGATCACGCGCACCATGATAATCTAGTTGAGTTGGCCTTAGATGAGACCATTGAGATGAGCGCAGCTGTTGCTAAAGCTGCTGAGCTTCTATCGGAAGAAGACTCACTTATAGTGGTGACAGCTGACCATGCACACGTGATGGCTTTTAACGGATACACGAAACGTGGTAGTGACATCCTCGGACCATCAGATCAAAGAGATGAATCTAACATACCATACATGACTATTTCCTACACCAACGGACCGGGTTTTCGTTCCCATGTCAACAATACTCGTGTTGATGTTACTTCTGAATCTAATTTCAGTAAGTACATAATCTAATTTTAATTATTTACTTAAAAGGAATACCTTTCTCATAAAAATCTAGAAATTATCTGTTACTTTTCATCTGGTACCTTTCAGTCAACTTCAAAAAAGAGGTTTTCAATTAGACTGTAAGTTTTTTGTATACACTATGTTATACGATATCTTCTTAAATTGCGAAATTTTACTAACCCCTAATGAGACGTTACATAATTTGTCGCACGGGGTCATCGGTAATAAATACTTTTTAGTGAATTAAAAGCTGATTGTCAATATTTATTATAATATAGAAGAATAATTGAAATCCGACTTTTGAAGTTATTATAAGAAAACTATTTTTATAATTTTTGGTTCTTTAAATTCGGTTTCTATGTTTTCTTTGTAAAAGTTTAATTTTAGTTTAAATATTACGAACACTATAAGCAATAGATGTTTTAATAATATAAATTTGCACGTATGCACATGGTAATGTCTAGGATTAAGGAGAGTACGGGCGGCATTTTGGGCTTTCTTGGCCCCGTTCATTGAATGTTTGAATATCTATAAGAAGTATTTGAATTTTTTTAATTTGACCAACATTATCTCTTAAACGTCATGCTTAAAGGCGACGATTTTGGAACTATAAACATTAAGCCGCTTATCAGCTGTGGCAACTACGGATAGCCTATTTGATATGAAATGCCTTATCCATCAGTGAATTGCTAAGATAAAGACGAATTCAACTTGTTTGTAGAGCCGTGGTAGCTCAGATGTTTAACGCTCGCTGTAATATAACAGAACGCGAGTAACCCGGGTTCGATCCCCGCCGTCACCAATGAAATTGTTAATTGCAATTTTAAGTGCTGATTTACCACGTGCTCAGCGGTGAAGGAAAACATCGTGAGGAAACCTGTATATCTGAGGAATAAGATAAAAAATATTTCTAAGACATGTGAATTTCGCCAACACGCATTGGGGCAGCGCGGCGGACACTTCCCCGCCCTAAAAAAGCCCTCTCATAAATGAGGGGAGGCCTGTGCTCAGCAGTGGGACGTATATAGGCTGTAACTTTACTTTACTTTACAACTTGCTTGTGTAAATGTCTAGGACAACTCCGTTGGATGAGCCACGTCGACGTACCGTTGGATTCGGAGACGCACGGCGGTGATGACGTGGCGGTATTCGCTCGCGGGCCACAACACCAGATGTTCTCGGGTCTGTACGAGCAGAGCCAGCTGCCGCACCTCATGGCGTACGCGGCCTGCATCGGCCCTGGTCTGCACGTCTGCAATGCGGCATCTCAAATTGTTCAGATGCAATCATTGCTGTTGATGACTATTTTTATACGTACTTTATTTTGCTAAGGAAATATTTAGTGCATTGTATTGTGCTCGTAGGAGATTTTCCGTAGAAGTCTGTTATAATAATTAAATTAAATTAAATTAAGTAAAATAAAATGTCTTATTTTTCAGGCATCGTAGGCCCATAGCATGTTAGTAATAGAAATAAAACTTAAGAACTAATGTTAGTGAATGAGACATATAATTTAAACAAGATATAAATACACGAAAATTGGGGGATTTATCAAGCTCCATTTTGTAAATGTAGCTTGACAAACCTACCCAATGTCGGGCCATCTAGCAGCTCCGCAAAGACTCTCAAGATACTATTCGAGCTTTCCCTCACTCGGCTCGTCAATGATCTTACTTTTTTTTTTACGCATGATCGCAAAGCAATTGTCAGTATGCGCATCGGCGCATATGGTCGATGCACTACAATAAGGTGGAAACTCCAAAAATAACCTGAAGGCACTGTTATATTGGATACCCAGGGTCTTTCCTGCCCTTTGGGTATGATTGGCCTAAAGTCTGCTAATGTAAAATGATTGGCAGTAAGCCTTGAACAGTGCAATTTTAGCTGGTACAGCAAGCAGCAAAAAACGTTCGAGCCACCATATTACCTCTCATAGCTAGCGCCCTACGTTCTCTTTCGATATGTAGATCATCTTTTGAGTCTTCTGTAACAATGTGACTTATGCTTACTTTCACCAACGACCCATAAGACTTACGGGACCCCTTAGCATATTCAGGGGCCAGTTAGGGTATAGTTTCCGTTTCACCAATTTTATATTTTATTTTTAGGTCCGTTACTGACTAAAAAATCTCCTAAATTTATGAGATGGATTATTGGTCCCATAAACCATCATATAAGTAAAAGAGACTTCTAGTGAACAATATGGACAGTGATATATTTGATATTATTGATAATTTAGACATGACTGATACTATATTTGATATAAGTCGTAGTCGAAGACCTAAAATATATCGAAAATTACCAAATTATTTCAACGATTTCGATGAATTAGATTTTTTCAGAAAATATAGATTATCTAAATCAACAATGATATATTTGTTGGGAAAAATTGAAATTTTTTTGGAATTTCCCGATAATAGGTGAGTACTCACCTACGTATTTACATAGGTAATCAAATTTAATGTAGGTACCGTAGTCCATAATATTATTAAAATTGTAATATATTTAATATTTAACCTAATAGGTGCCTACCTTTTCACTTATTACCTATTATACCTAGCTACGAAATAACCAAAATGTATATAAAGGTAAAGCATATAAGATTACTTTATTGGTCTCCTAACAATAGTTTTTGAATGGACAATAAACCTGTATAAGTAGGTCATAGGTACCTATTTGGTGCTAACTTACCTACCTTATTAAGTTAATACCATAGGTACGTCTACTAAATTTCTAAATCTAAATTCACTTTATCTAGGTACATGTTTATTTTTGTTTACAGGAAAAATTCCGTACCATCCATAAATCAATTATTAATAGCTTTAAGACATTACGCCACAGGCAGTCACTTGCTTGCTGTGGCGGATATGGGTGGCGATAGTTTGACTACATCCAGCCGGATAGTAAAGAAAGTTTCTCAAGCAGTTGTATCCCTACGTCGAGAATTCATCATATTTCCTGATACAAACAGAGACCAAGACAGAGTTAAGATAGAATTCTATGGCATAACTAGATTCCCTAATGTACTAGGCTGTATTGATTGTACAAATATAAAAATTCAATCACCAGGTAAATTCCTTACTTTGATTTAACTTCCTTTCACAAAAGTTCATTTCTCTTAGAAGTCTATCAAGCAATAGTGATGAAGTATTATATATATATATATATATATATATATATATATATATATATATATTGTATATATATATGTTGTATAATATATATATATATATATATATATATATATATATATATATATATATATATATATATTTTTTATTAGATAGATATATCTTTATATGTATAGATATTTATATCTTTAGGTGAAAATGACGCAGATCTATTTAGGAACAGAAAAGGCCACATGTCCATAAACGTTCAAACAATTTCGTCAGCCAAGTTGTTGGTGCAGGATGTTGTTGCACGCTGGCCAAGTTCTACACATGATTCAGCAATTTACTAAAACAGCAATATTTATAGAAAGTTCCAAAGAGGGGAGTATGTAGACACCCATTTACTTGGGGATAGTGGCTATCCCATAAAGGTAAAATAAAGAATAACTGAAATAACATCTATTCTGCAGTAATTTGCTGGCAAACTTACATGCAAGCATTCATCACAGAACTCAAAATATTGATTAAATAAATACTTATTGTTTAATAGGTACCTAATTGACCTACTCGATTGCAAAATTTTCAAAATATAGTCGTCGTATATCATTCCATTACAGCTATTTTAACTTAAGCTTATAAGTATAGATAGGGTATGTAAAATTAATAAAAAGATTATTAGATGATATAATATATTATTAAAAAGTTCACTTAGATTAGGTATTTGCAGAACCATTTTAGGCATTCCAAATACATTTTGGAAGTTTAGGGTGTGACCTGAAATGGAAAATAAATATTTTACATCATATAAATTGCATTATTACGTACAATAATACTTAAATCATTTCTATTTTCAGCCTCATCTCTTGACACCTTATCTCAACCCTACAACAAGTGGAGAACGAAAATATAATGAGGCCCAAATTAGAACAAGAAATGTGGTGAAGCGGCAATATGATGTGCTGAAACGAAGGTTTCCAGTACTTGCAGTTGAATTCGTTTAGCTATAAACAATGCCATCAACGTCGTAACAACTTGCAGTACCTCGCACAACATATGCATATTGAGAAATGAGCAACAGCCTGTGAATAATGATGACGTTAAAACCTGGAAGAGCTAATTGCAAGGGGACAAATCACTAATATGTCATTTTCTGACAGACCATCTTTGGCATATGGATTTCGCAGAAATCAAATTATTTTGATAATTTATAAATATATAATTTATAATGTAAAATATTTTTTTTTCATTTCACCAGTGAATAAAACACATACGTTTTAGTTGGTTGCAAACTTCGGTTTTAATTTCCAATTCCTTCCTAGTTGTTTCTAACTGCAGCAACAACACTTCTCACTTAAATTTTATTTCTTCTTCTAACATATTTATTTTGAAATCTTCCACAATACCTTTTTTAGAATTCAAATCTTGAAAACATAGAGTTGAAGCAACTTCCGTTTTATCTTTATTTTCCTTAAATAGCGTCATCGCCTTTTCCATATACACAAAAATCAATGTAAAAGAAATTGAATTTCCTGATAAACTAAATAGTTGTTGTGATACCCTTTATAAAATCATAGTTTGGATCACTTAGTTATATTAGATAACCTGTATTCGAGCATTGTAAAGGTTATGCAAGAGACAGCCAGGCTAAGCCATTTGTGTGGTGATGGTGACAGAAAGAATGCCCGCCCTCTTGCGGGCTGGAACAAGCACGTGCGGGCTGCGCACCAAGATGCCCGCCAGAAATTCCTAAAGTGGGCGTGGTATGGAAGGCCACGTGAGGGATCCCTATACATAGATATGTGCGAGTCGAGAAACGTTTTTAAAAACAAATTGAAATACTGCCAAAATCACCAAGAGCTAATTAAAATGACTATACTAGCTTGTAAGCATGAAAAGAAAGACTTTAGAGGGTTTTGGCAGCAAATAAAAAAGATGGATCCAAAGTGTGGCGTCCTGGTGAGCATCGACGACGCTAGTGACCCGAAGGATCTTGCGAACTTATTTCGAGCGCATTTCGAAATTCAGCCCGTCACCGCCACGGACAGCGCTGGTATATGTGATAATGTAGACGCTGGGCCAGTTGTCACCGGTGTTCCAGAACGCTTCACTGCCAATGAGGTTTTTGAGGTGATAAAAGGAATGAATCGTAGCAAGTAGCCAGGGCACAATGGCCTCAGCATTGAGCATTTCCTTTACACGGGGCTTGAACTACCAATCATCATCATCATCATTACAGCCCCTTACAAGTCCACTGCTGAAACATAGGCCTCCCCCAAGGTATGCCACAAAGCACGGTCCTGAGCCACCTGCATCCATCGACTTCCTGCATGACTTACCAGGTCGTCACTCCATCTAGTGGGGGGTCGCCCTACACTTCGTCTACCGGTACGAGGCTGCCACCCGAGAACCTTTTTTCCCCAACGGTTTTCAGTTCTTCGAGCTATATGGTCGGCCCATTGCCACTTCAGCTTACTAATCCGTTGGGCTATGTCGTTTACTCTGTTTCTACTGCGGAAATACTCATTTCTAAATTTATCACGCAGAGAAACTCCGAGCATAGCCCTCTCCATAGCTCGCTGAGTGACTTTGAATGTCCTCTTACGGCCCGCAGTGAAGGACCACGTCTCAGTTCCATATGTCATCACTGGCAACACGCACTGGTGTATAACTTAGTTTTCAGGTTTTGACGTATACCTGACGAGAAGATGTGTCGTAATTTCCCAAACGCTGCCCAGTCGAGTTGAATCCGTTGATTGACCTCTCGGTCGAAGTTGGACTAACCTAGCCGGACTATTTGACATAAAGACATTTTGACATAAAGACATTTATTCCGACACTTCAGATTACAATACAAATTAATAAACAAAATGAAGTCGAATAAGAATAAAATAAAAGAAATAAAAATACAAGAAATTTATAAACAAAAAAAGTAGAGGATAAAATGAATAATCGAAACAGATGAAGTGGCGGAAGGGACCGCCTCAGCATAAGCCGCGGGATAGCGACGCTGATTTTCAGTCGGCCCCATACGGTCCTACGGAGACCGTGTCGAAAGTGTTGACATTAAGTGAGTAGTAGTAGATACATATGATAATAACAACTGATGAATTTGAAATATTTGTCCCAGGTAAACGTACTCGTCAACAACTTCGATCTTATTGCTCCCAACAACTACCGGCATAGGTGTGACATGGACATTAAACATGATCTTTGTTTTGTCCATGTTCACCTTAAGACCTATCCGTTGGGAGGCACTATTGAGGTCATTGAGCATAGTGCTTAAATCCTCCAGCGATTCTGCCATAAGGAATATATCATCGGCAAATTGAAGGTGAGTGATGTACTCGCCATTGATGTTAATACCGTATCATTTCCAGTCCAGTAGCTTGAAAACGTCTATCAATGCAGCGGTGAAGAATTTCGGGGAAATAACGTCACCCTGTCTTACACCTCTCTGCAGTTGGATAGGTTTCGTACTCCGGTTCTGTACTAGGATAGCTATCGTAGCCCTACTGTACAAACACTTGAGCACTTAGATATACCGACAGTCAACTTGGCACCGCTGAGGAGACTGTAGCACCGACCAAATTTCGACGGAATCAAAGGCTTTCTCATAGTCCACATATGCCAGGCAAAGTGGCAGATTGTACTCTTCGGTCTTCTGTACAATCTGCCGCAGGGTATGTATGTGGTCTATGGTACTGAAGCCTTTTCGGAAACTGGCTTGTTCAGGAGCCTGGAAGTCGTCTAGTCTGCATGCGAGACGATTCGTAATGACTCTCGAAAACAGCATGTAGACGCGGCTCAGAAGGGAAATCGGTCTGTAGTTCTTCAAGAGAGCGTTGTCGCCTTTCTTAAAGAACAAGACCACCGCGCTTCTGCTCCACGCCTCCGGAGTAGTGCCACCATGGAGGACGTAATTGAAGAGCTTCTGAAGGACTTCAAGTAACGGTGTTCCACCCGCTTTCAGAAGCTCCGCTGTAATTCCATCGTCGCCTGGGGCTCTGCCGTTTTTAAGGTGCTGGAGAGCCATTCTAATCTCGCTTAGACTGACGTCCGGCATATTATCGGAATAGTGTTGGGTAAGAATTGTTCTTGGATCGTTACTCACACTTGCGTGTGGCTCCAACGATGATGTGTACAGCTGCCCATAGAACCTCTCAATCTCACTCAAAATCACAGGTGTCCCGGAAACGATGCTGCCACACTCAGTCTTCAGCTTTGACAGTTAGCTCTTTCTGGCAGATAGATCTCTGTCAAAGACTTTGGAGTCCTGGTTCCGCTCAATCGCTTCTTCAATACGAACAGTATTAAATTTGCGTAAGTCTCGCCGCATGCATTTGGAGATCTGTCTGTTCAGTTGCCTGTATGCTGTCAAATCTGTTGACGATTGCAGCCTCATCACCCGTCTAACAGCTATGAGATTAAGAGTGTGATCGGAGAGCTTTTGTGTTCCTCTGCGGCCGGTCTTGCAGAACTTAGCTCTGACCGCATGGACAGTTTTCACGAGCTTGTCATTCATATCGTCCACTGCATTGCAATCTTCTAGGCACTGAAAGCGGTTACGTAACTCGAGCTGAAAGATTTCAGGATTCTGGATTAGAGCATGAGGGGGACGGTGCGTTGACTTCATTAGACGAGACCTCTCCAACTTAACGTTTAGGTTCAGTGTGCCTCTAACCATTCGTTGATCGCTGCCAATTTTCACCCTTGCGATCACTGAGAAATCACTGAACAGTTGGCGTCTGTTCGTTATAATGAAGTCAATCTCATTTTTTGTATAACCGTCGGGGCTCGACCAGGTCCACTTCCTGTGAGGCCGCTTCTGGAAGAAAGAGTTCATCATAAATAGTCCCTCTTTCTCCATAAAGTCGGCTGCTGCTGGCCCCTTCGGTTCCGTTGCCCTACTCCTAATTTCCTTACCTTCAGCTCACAGCTTTCTCTTGTGCCTAGTTTTTCGTTGAAGTCTCCTATCAACACCGTGTAGTGGGTTTTGGAGGAATGCATGTCTCTAGAAATATCCTCATACATTTCCTCCACCTCCTCATCGGGATGTGCCGATATTGGTGTGTAAATCTGTATGACCTTCAGCGAATACCGTTTGGTGATTCTGAGTATCAGGTACGCGACCCTCGTCGACATACTCCCAATCTTTACAACGTTGTTGACGAGAGACTTGTGGACGATAAGTCCGACACCTTCTTGAGACAGATGGTCGCCCTCCCGGTGATAGAACAAGTTTCCGGACTCGAGGATTACTGTGTCCTGCCCTCTCTTCGGACCTCGGATAACCCAATAATATGCCAGCGCAACTTGTCTACCTCTTCTTCCAACTCCAGTATCTTCTCGTCAGTCTTCGGGGTGCGTGCGTTATATGTTGCCAGGTCGAGTCGTCGTAGGTGGCAACCGAACCTCCACCGGAGATTCTTAGCACCCTTTGCCCCGCCGTTACCATGGTCACCACCGTAGCCAGGAATAGCGGGGCCGCCGGAGACTGAGGGCCGTTTGTTTGCGTCGTTACTCATGGGGGGATATATGCCATAGTTGCCACGCTTGGCGAGCAGGTTGGCAACCGCAATTTTTTATTATATCATTGCTGTTATCAGGATGATGCTGCTGCCCATCTCCTGCCTGTCTCCCTCTGTCGCCTCTTACGACACCCACGGGAAGATATGGGGTAGTGGATATTCTTAACCGCCACTACACGGCAAACCTACCAAGGTTGCTGGGAATGCTGTTCACAATCTGTAGGAGGCATGCCTACTTACCTGCAGATCTAATGAGAACGGTCGTAGTTCCAATTGCTAAAAATAAAACGGGGAATATTTCGGATAACACCAACTACCGACTGATCTCATTAGATACTGTGACGGCTAAAGTGTTTGATGGTTTGCTTGAGTGACAACTTAA